AACCACATTAGTTTGAAAAAGATCCTCAAAAACGGAGCCAGCAGAACGAGTTGATGAACCCACAGCGACGTGTTAAACCTGCTTCATTATCAATAGGTTTTATTTATCAGCCACATCAGGCCCAGTGCAGAGTTAGCACAGGGTGGGTCCCAGGGCAGAGCTCCGTCCTGGGACCCACGACAGGCCACTGAACCGGCTCCGTCCTCGGGTCCATCAATCATGAATGAGGACAGAATCATTACACATGCCAGCCGATGCAAACGGCCGGACTGATTCGATTACCATCGGTAACTAAGCCAGAAGGCCGAAGCAGCTAGAGCTGATCCATCAGTGCACACACACATACGTGCACGCACACACACAATCACACGTGCGCGCACACACACCCGGTTGGACAGGACGCTGCGAGCTGCTGCAGCCTGTCAGAAAAGGGCAGCAGTGATGAAGTGGAACCGTTTATCCAGAAAATAATTAGTCAGCTGATCCGACAATTGACAGAAAATTTAATCGACAAGAATTCTGATCGATAACGGGCTCACGCCGTCTATAGAATAGTGAAAAATGACCAGAAGGCAAGAGACAGTCAGAGAAAACAAAGCAACCGATTTATATGAATAATGAATCATCAGAACACTCTCATATCATTTTACACTGATTTGCTGTTTTTGAGACAAACTAAACAACAACAACAACAACACGTAAAGCTGCAACCAGCTGTTATCATCTTCTTAGTTTCTATAAACGATTGCCATTAAAAACAGATAACAGACAGACAGTAATTACTGGCTGTAACTGCAGCCCCATGAGTCTGTGTGCAGCCCTCTCATTCTGATTATTAGTTGTGATCATGATCAATACAAAGTGAGATTGAAAGTTTCTACTTTATACAACGTTAACCAACTCAAAATTATATTTAGGACATTTAAAGGTCTAAATTATTGGATTTACGATCTGTTTTTTTATACCTAAATATATTATTTGGGGCTCACAATGGACAGCAAAGGGCCACAGGTCGGTTCAAACTCGTGGCCACTGCAGCAAAGACTCTGCCTCACACGGGGCACCAGTTCTACCAGGTGAGCTACCGGGACACTCTCAGGTGAGGTGTTTCTGCTCTACAGACTGTTTCAGCTAGAGCCCGACTGATATCGGCCTATCACAGACATATCGGTATCGTATCAGTTTCGGTGCTTTTCGCCATCGGCTTCGGCGCAGTTCCTAAGCGTACAATCCCTGATGACAAAACTTACGTCACTCTGACCCGAGTGGACGCTGCCGTAATAACGTTTTTTGTTTATGAAAGCAGGATTCTTGCATATCGGTGCAAAATCCACATAGAAATATTGACCGTAATAAATCGGTATCAATATCAGTCGGTCAGGATCTATATCAATCTAATTAATTGATCGTTTGTGGTAACAGCTGCTGTCACAATAAAGCGTTTGCAGAGTAAAGCAGAAATGACTTGTGGCGTTACACAATCTGACGGGTGACGACACCGGTGTCACAAAGTGTCATAATCAGCTGTTCTGATGATTGATTGATTATTTATTGATCGACTGCAGTCTTTTTCAGATATCTAAGTTATATATTAGTGTTTATTCTTATTATCCTGGTTTGGTTCTGTGCTCGATCAATAAAGTTTATATTATTGTTATATTATAGAATATAAAATGAAACGTCCATAAAATATGTAACTCAGTCAGTTTACTCAGTGATAGAAAAGTGTTGGGAACCAGCACATTAAACTGTCTAATAAAGTGTTTCTGGACATTTTCTACAACACAACTGTTTATCTTAGACACACACACACACACACTCTCACACACACACTAAAAAATATTCCCATATTTATAAACATTTGTGGATAAACAGTCTGTTTCTTTACAGGTTGTTTTCTCGTTTTGTGGTTTTTATTTTCAAAACAGGTTGTTTATTTGTTTCTTTCTGCATATTAATAGTTGAGGGAAACAGCTCGTTTCTTTTAGCCTCGTTCTCTCGTTGTGTGCTTTATTTTCTGCCTCCATACATTATTTATTATTATTTATTGTTATTTTACTGGACACAGACTGAACTGAACGGTAACAGTCGAACGTTCTTAACAGTCGAACGTTAACATTCGAACATTAACATTCGAATGTTAACTTTCGAACATTCGAACGTTAACATTCGAATCTAAACAGAACGTTAACATTCGAATGTTAACTTTCGAATCTAAACAGAACGTTAACATTCGAATGTTAACTTTCGAATCTAAACGTTAACGTTCGACTGTTAAGAACGTTCGACTGTTA